TGAGCATAGTTTCTTGTCCTGGGTGCCCCCTGTTGATGCGTTTCATTACCGCGGGTCTCAATTCAACGTCCACTAACGTCATTTGATTACATAGCGGGTTGGAGTATGACCCCATTAACTCGCCTCCTTCTCTGTCTCCTCTTTCGATTACTCATCTCATTCGGTCCAGCCAGACATCCTCCGAAGTGAGCTCCGCTGAAAGACTCTTATCGAATAAATTTCATATGTGCGACAGCCCCTGATCTCCTAGCTGTTCATGCAGGTTGTGTGCATCCCTTCATGAGAGGTCGCTCACCCGTCTATTTAGGTCTACGAGCTGTACTTTTTGCTCACCTTCTAAGATCATCGTCACGTCCACCTCGATGATGGGTCTCTTGAACTCCGTCGGTTCTTCCTATGGGGATCAAATTGATCGTCATTTGTTTCCTATTGCGTGATCGCTTCTAGGTCACTGATCTGTGTCGGTCCTCCTCCGGTTTCATCTCCCATCAGTTGCCAAAAAGACAGCAGGTTTTGTTCTGTTATGTAATCTTTGATCGGGACAACACGTTTTACTCTGGGGCGAAATTGATTCTGTGAACGAGTAATTTCTCCTACATCCTCTCACTATTTTTCTGGTCGGTTGAAAGGTCTTTGTGACTTCTTCCGCCCGCGATATTTCATCCTACTCTCTTCTTGTGTTATTCGGTGTGTTCTGCATAGGGTCTGACAAGATCTCCTCTCTATTTTCTCTCCGACGTTTCCCGTCACTGTGCCAGGTTCCTCCGAACAACTTGTTTTCTTCTTCTTTTATTCTGAATTTCTTGACTACTGCCCTTACCTATCGATAATTTCATACTGGTTTTGAACAAAGGTAACATTATATCGTTTTGAAGATAGCGAACCGAACATGTTTTTTTTCGGTCAAGTTCTGTCCAGTTTTAAACATTTTGGTTGCTATAGCAACTGAGAGATGACGTGTTCTGCTTTCTATTCGGTTTCAAATGTCTAGAATATTCATGATTGTTCTCGTTCCGGCTGCGCAGATTTTCCTCATTCAGCCTACTGTTTAAACAGTCGGGAGCTGAATGAAACGATTTTATGGCTTTAACTACAAATTTCTCATCCAATTCCGATTCAGGCCATGGACCCTTATTAGGCTCTCTGGACAGACAGTCGACTATCCCCATATCCCAGTGGTTATATCTAGATTGAGACACTTTATTTGAACTAGTAGTATCTATGGCCGATGTGAGTGCACTATGATCCGCAGCATTGATGATGGTAGTAGCTAGAAGGTAGTATTTATATCCATCAACTGCGCAAATTACCGAGTACTTCTAATTCATAAGTAGAAATTTTTTTCTTGAGCTTTTAGATACCTTAAAGCAAATGAAACTGGTACCTAATAAAGGCTTTCAATGAATTCACCTTGTTTGATTTCAGTTCTTTCCTGATTTCGATCTTTTTCACGGCGATGCCTTGTTCATCTGCTTTTATATGGTTGTCTTTGTTTTCGATTCGTCTCTGAGTGTAATTTTCAATCTTACTGATCTCCTGCCATTCATCCTGTCTCGACATTATTTCGAATTCGTACGGTCTTCAGTTTCTTATACCATATTGCATTCTGTTTTCGATATCTCTGGTGATTTCCCAGCCACTTCGCTTATTTGTTGGGAAGGACACATTTTCGCGAAATGGTTCGCTTTCCCACAATTTTTGCGTGATTTTTTTCATTTTCAGAATATTTTTTCAATTGACATACCACAATATTTCTGTCACATTTGTTATATCACGTTTCCGTTGTTTTTCTTCTTTTTGTTTGAGGTTTTCTATCTGACACCTTGTTTATTAGTGTTTTAACAAACATGATTGGTTTTTGATTTATCTTAGATGTGGGGTTCGCCGACAATGAAAAATATGGCCTAGAATTGGTAGTCTGGAACGCCGAGGTTGTTTTTTTGCTGTGCTCAAATATTATTGCTCTTTTGATTACCTCTTCCAGTGACAATGTCTCCACTGTTATTGTGTCCTGTAGACTAGCATTTCTCATTCTTAAGATGATGAGAGCTGTGACAAGTTCATCTTCCAACGTTCCTATCATCTCTGACCTGGCTGCTTGTGCAGTTAATGCCGCGTGAAATTTTTCTAATGTTTCTCTAGCTTATTCAGTTCCTGTTGAATAAATTTGATCTCTCATATGTTACGCTCTTTACTTTTTGGATTGCAAGTTTTGCCATTTCAATAGTATCTTTGAATGCCAGTTTTGATATATCCTAATCCAGACTTTTTTATATGAATCGTTTATTTCTTTCTGGTCCTAATGCTAGGCACAGACGTGAAGCTAGTTGTTTTTGTTCCTCGAAGTAGTAGACGTTGTGACCCTCTTTTGGTCCACTGGTTTGTTTTTCTTCGTTTTCCTGCACACTTTTTTTACGCCAGTCTTTTCCGCCAATTTCTTGCTGCTATTGCAGTCTCATCTTCGCCTGTTCTCGGTGATTCTGGTCTTGGTGCAGGTAGTTCCACCTCGCCTTTTGGATCTTTCAGTAGCAATTCCGGGTTAATAGTTTCTTTGACTGTTACTGCCAACACAAAATGTTCTAGGGATTGAATTTGTCGTAGTCTAAAATATTGGTTTTCTCATATCTGCTTGATTATTCTGGGCAAGAAATCCTGCTCGCTGCACCATGTGATACTCTTCGGAACTCTGAGTTCTGTTTAGTAACATTTTTACTCAATGTTCAATTCAAAGTTCTCTGAACTGTATCATCCGATTAGAGAGATCGCTGCCGAGTTACGCTCTAGCATAACACAACTCTGCCATACGTACATGGCTGCAATTTTAGATCTCATTTGATCTGGACCTGAACATATAATACAATAAATAACCGTATTTGCATCAATGTTACTGCATGCGCAGTACCACAGGTTGACAGAAACGCTTTTCCGATTTCCTCATCAAAATTGATATAAAAAACAGCCCTATTTATTGAAATTTTCAGCGCTACTGGTCGATTTGAATAAAAAAACGGATCAAAAACATTGTTGCTATTCTTTTTTTGGAGGTTTTTACCACTTACATTTTTTTTTGGCGCGCTCTCCTCTCAAAATACTACATATACATTTTCAGGTAGCTTTTTCTGGCAACGTTTTCTGGTACGCGCTCCCCTCTGAAAAAAAGCATGTTTTTACGCCAATGAGGCCTTAAGAAAAATTTTAAAGTCAGTTGACCAAAAATGGATGTAAAATAGTACCAAAAGGAGGGCACTTCATATGACTCCACTGAGTCTCTTGGTTTTCAACCTTTACAAATCTGCAAGGAGGCAATCAATGGATGATTCAAAATCCTGAGTTGACCCAAGTTTTTGTATAATTGTCAACACGAGTTCGTTGTTTCTTCAAAGATGAGAATTGAGACAAAAAAATGGATGTCATTTCCCAGTTTTTTGGACATGTCACTGCTCAAGTGACTTACCTTTTAACACTGATCCAAAAATTCCTGATTCTGTAAAATCTTGTTCACCTAGAAATTACTATGAATATATTTTCCTTCCAGCAATTTAATCAAGTAAAAGTTCTTGTTTTTATCCTTTTCATTATAGTTTAAATGAGATTATGTTTTTTGACTCGGTTTTCTGTAGAGCCAAAAAACTTTCCCTATTCCCTTTTCGCCACATGCCGTTCGACCCGGCGTCTTTGCATAAACAACTTTTTCTAATAACTTACTTCATTATTTTCCGCCGTCCCACAAAATGTCTTATCCGGCTTTTTGTGATATTAATATTAATCTCATATATATCAGTGGCTGGAAAGAATTCATTAAATTTGAACTTAAAATGGTTGATCTAAACTAAACGAGATTCAGACTAAGCCTTTTTAAAGTGCAAGTCTGCAGCGTTCATGTAAGCAGTCTTCGTATAAACAAATCAAGTTCACCTCTAAATTAAAAAATATATATTTGCCTTGGGAAGGAAATATGAAATCTTTTTTTTTCAACTGTTATTTTATTATACTTCCTCGCAGCAAAGATTAGAGAATTATTTTTTGACCAATCATGTCTGATTGTAATTTTCTTGGTTGTATTTGACCGATTTAATAGTTTTTTTATACAAAACTTCCTATCTCGCATGTTGCAGATGAGCTATTTTTCATCAGATTTCGAGATGTATGACTTTTTAATCAGTTTTGAAAATATTTGATTAATCGCAAAGTGAAGCATTTATTCCAACTGCATAGCAGACCATTGCGTTTTGATAAACCAAACTTACTTCCTAAATTTTGACAATTTCCTTAGTTCTTGCCGTAACAAAGCAAACCAATTACAATTGCAGTTTTTTCTATCGCTTTTCGGTTCTCTTTTCTTTTACCATTCAAAAATTCAGGGAAATTCGTAATTAAAACTAGCTGACAGAAAATGAAAAAAATCTTCACGTCTTGATTCTTTGAACGGGTGAGCATACTTAAGTTTTCCTTATATGTACATTTTGAGAAATTAAAAAGTAAAGTTTTTTCTACTGGTGTAGATTTTTATTAGGCAGTCTAGGTTGCGAAGTGGCGTGGGGGGGGGGGGGGTGGGGGTGGGGGGGTTCAATAGAATGTATTCAAGGTTTCGAGCAAAACTTAGCTCCATTTATTAAAATTGGTCTCATAAAATGTTCATAAAATCCCTCTAATCGACTGCATTTTCAGAGTCATTTCCTATTGTGATGAATTTTACGCTCGTAGTCGAAAACATGATCTACTAATCTGTCTAGAACTATTTATATAATTTTTTGATTTACGTCAGGCCTAAGATGAAAGTCAATTTGTCATATCAAACCAAATTACACCAAATGGAACCCTATATTGTCACGTGGTATTAACCAGGAGCATTTCAAGAACCCAACCAAGTGGTGCTTAGGCACCAACGGGCTCTTTTCTTTAATCAAATCAAACTTTAATCAGATTCCGATTGCTATTTTGGTTTGATTTACCTATTCGGTAGGCCTGAAAAGTGAACATCTAATTCAAATTAACAAAGGGACGGCTTGGGTGAATTTGACCCCCCGAGTAAAGATTTCATTCGCCCACCCTAAATTTGAGCTGAGGTTGATAAATTGCCTCTTGTTAGCAATGTCAACTAGATAAAAATTGAAAGTGACAAGTTTATAACAAAAGGAAGTTTTTTTCTAAGCTTAACTGCCACTTTTATACAACTTTTTCCCTTTGTTATCTACAAGAAAAGGCAACTCTACTAGCCAATAAACACGATATTTACCATTTGTTTATTAAACTTCACAAATCATACGGGGAACAAATCCCTATTTAATTGGGCAACACTCGGAAAAATTTTGCTTAGCCCGTTTTCAGATGCCTTTGAAATTAACAACTCTGAGCTAATCTCCTATAAATTATTGACTAGGAAAGGATTAAGCGCCATTTTAGTGTTTTCCAATTCACCCAAAATCGATTTTTAATCCCTTATTTTATTTTGACTTAAAATTGTCAAAAAGGTGCATCCTTGTGCTAAATTTAGCTATCAGGTTGCATCAAATTTCGGAGCCATTATTTGTGCTCCCATTTTCTGGAAAAGATTCTTATATTTTTGTAATTGAATCTCTTTGTTCTGATTGAAAATGGAACATTTGCTGTTCTTAGCATCTGCAGTTGATACTGAAGAAGACTTTGACCAAAACTTCACCGTGAATAGTGCAGAAAGCGTGAACAAATCGCAGGCAGCCTCTGAAAGTGTGAAAAAAGAACCTTTCAGCAGAGGACGAAGTTTGATCAAAAATAGCTTCTCCATTTCGGCCATCAGCTCCTATTTTAGAACTTCGTCGAATAAAATCAAACAGAGGCTTCCAAATAGCATGTCGCTGCAGCCGCATAGCGCTCAGATGGCAGAAGCACGGCGGTTAGTTCACAAATTAGAAAAATTAAACAACAATTTTTGCAAAAGGTAAGTAGTTAGTTATTCAAAAGGTTATGCGGTAACCAAATATAATTGGTTTGAGTAAAATTCCAATCACTATAAAACATGACCGCGACTTTCGTGAAAAACAATCCGCAATTTGCGAATTATCAATCAGAAATAATTAAGCCACAATATTTTATCCTTTTTCAGTATTTTTTTTGCAGTTGTTTTTGGCTTTTATAGTAAATATGATTGACTTATAGTGATATCTTTGTAGTTCTGAAGGCGTCTAGTGTGTTGATGGATTTTCAGCGAGAACAATTTTTTTGTTGATGCTGTTTTTCTCTTTTTTTTTCTTTTTGTTTTCCGCGCAAATGGGTCGAACGATATTTCATATTAAAGCCTTTTTAGTTTAATTGGAACAACATTTAAAAATTTCAAAATTTTTCCCAGTGTCGAGTAAAACCAGTTCGAAAGTTTTGATTTTTGGTCTAATTTCGAGCGAATAAGGTGAGCAAGCAAGCTTATTTTGTTTTTGAACCATAAACATTTGCGGTAAATAATCATTGTAACGGGGGAGTGATATATCATATTAAAGCCCTTTAAGCCGTCATTTGAACGATATTTAAATATATTCAAAAAGTTGTCCCAGTGTCGAGAGAAACCAGTTCGAACATTTTTGGGTTTTGGTCTAACTTTGAGTGAATAAGCTTACTTTGTTTTTGAACCATAAACATTTGCAGCAAATTATCAACGTAACTAGTGGAGTGATGCATGATCTTAAAGCCCTTCCAGACGTCATTTGAACGACATGAAAATTTTTTCATATAATTGTCCCTGTATCGAGAAATTTTTTTAAGTTTTAGTCTAATTTCAAACGGGTAAAGCAAGCGAACAGGCTTATTATCGAAGCAGTTATAGAGAGGAACTCTGTGATCGGGTGTTTTCGTTTTTTTGTTGTCCACGCAAAATCAGGTATCACAAATAATTGGAATGCATCGAGTGATATTTCATGTTTCAGCCCTTTTAGTCGTGATTCGAACGACAACGAAAATTTTCATTTTTTTTCAAAAGTAGAGAACAACCTGTCTGAACTTTATGATTTTTTGTCTAATTTCGAGGAAGCTAGGCGAACTACCATGCTTACTTATACTTAATTTAAGCCGTTTACAGTAGTTTAGTTATGCTTAGTGCTAGCTTTACTTGAGTTTTATGAATGCCATTTTGAGAATCAAAAACTTCAAAAGTCAAAAAGTTTCCGCAAAAAAGCTGAAAAAGAATTGAATTGAAAAATTTTTTGGTAATTTTTGTTTTTCTAGTCCATTTTCTTCAAAAATTGTTGTCTAGTTCGCCAGTTGGTCTAATACCATCGGAGCATTCTGTGCTAGTTGCCCAGTAACCGGCTATTTTTGTTGCATCAGTTGCACCAAACCTGTCAATGCTTTTCTTAGGGAACCGCTGGTCGTCTCAAACAGAATTTGTTTTTTTTTTTGTGAATTTTGTTGCATTTTTGCAATTTTGCTTAGAGTTTACTCTTGCTTCTTTTGTGGGTTGTATATTATCAACAAAATCATCGTCGTTTAACCATGCTAGTCTTTTTTGATGGTCAGATTTAGCCTTATGAGGAGAACTATGTCTTCAAAAGTATAAATTTTGACGCAGAAATTTTAAGAGATTTTGATTTTGGTTTGTTTTGCTGTACGAGCTAATAACTCTGGAAGAGAGAAGACAAATTTTGTTTCGTTAGTACTTTTTAATGTCGTAAAATAATTTCAATATTTTTGTTCATAAAAACAGTATCAAAAAGTTTTTGAAACTTGCATTCTTTTATTTGTTCGAATATTTTAATATTTTATTTGTAGATCGGTTCATTTTCAATTTTCAGCTGATGCTTATTCTGCGTTTGAATTTTTCAACTTTACTTTATATATTCTGGAATGATTTTACTGGCATTTTTGTAGACTGTTTTTTATACCTAAATGTGAGAAATTTTGTCGTGTTTTTAAGCCGTAGAATTTGTTTTGCAATGTACTTGCTCCTAGGTAGAAAAAGTGTGTAGTGATTTGCTGAATTTGTTTATTTCTTCTTATAAAGTCCGTATCTGCTTTTATTTCAAAATGTAGGAAGGGCATTTTTTATGTGGCCTGATTCTTGATCATTTTCACTTTTTCTAACCAGCAGTCTAAGGGGTATTATGGTGGTCAGGGGTCCTGAAAAAATGATTGGAGCAAGACCAATTAAATTTTTGGTGTACAAACCACTAAATTGTAATTGGGCACCTAGACCAACCAATTATTGCAATTAATAGCAATTAATTGGCAATCATTTCGGAAGAAAGAAAAGAATGGTAAAACAAGAATTCGATCCTATTTACGAACACAAACTATAATTTTTTAGTTAAATTAATGTAAGCCACTAAAACTGTCTGTCAAGCAGAACAAAAACTCATGCGGTGATGTTGGCAACTAACTCCTTGTCCGAGAATGCAGATATATACTTCATTTTAGTTGCTGCTATTTTGCAGCGATTATTTGTAGAAAAGCCGGATCAATTCCGCACCATTCAATTAACTGCAATTAAATGATAATTCACCAATCAATTAAATAATTGGTGGACGCCTGTCAATCAATTTATTGAAACAATTTATTGCCAATTAATTAGACTCGAATTACTTTTTCGTAATCCCTGATGATGGCTGTAAACTTAGTTAGCTGTTTAATTAATTGATAGCTATTATAGTTTATTATATTTTTTTTATTTAACAGTGGTTTGTTTTGGTTTTTGTTACGGTAATTTTTTTTTCTAACTTGATCCGCTCGTGTGCAAGATGTTTTTACTTCGCTGGTCTCATGCGCCTCCTTCAGTTTGACAAATATGAATCACAACAAGACTGCTCGTATATCAGGGCAAAATATTTTGGGAAAAGCTAATATTAAAAATCTATACTTTTTGGACAATATCGAAGTGTAAAATTTTGAGTCACACGAAATTAATACGATCAATTAAATAGCCTGAGTTCAATGTGGAACGATTTTGTTGTGCGGGATAATTCGCCACACATAAATAATTCGCGTTACGCTCTCAGGATTGTGAATAAACTCTTTACGCACATAAGCGCACATAATTTAATCCAGAACATGGCCAATTTGTCAATTTCAAACCCCCAGAACTTTACAGAAACTAATCTGATGTAATATCTTTTTACATTTGAGCTCAAGAAGTCGATATCTTCAATGGGGTATAAATTATTTTCTTGAAAGCTATTATTTCGATCGGCAAAATTTGACTGAAAAAAGAAACCACACCGAGCATAAATATTCTGTTTTCTTCGAGAATCGGAACGATTTTTTGCGCATGCCCTTAACTTTATCTAAAATCTTTTTACTAGTATAATTTTGCTGTTGGTTCAAAAAAGTAGAAAAAGGACAATTGATAGAGCTAGTGAAAAATTTCTTGCAATCTGTTAGACATTTCTCATTTGGGTGTATTTAAATTTGTGTTTAGCTTTGAGAATCCAAGATTGAACATTGATAGTTCTAATTAGTTAGTTCTATTTCTGTCTCAATTATTGGTTGAATTTTGAATTGACACAAGTTTAACAAACTTTAAAGCCATGCTTCAATTTCATTAAACAGGTTTGGGAAACCACTGGGTTAAATAGATTCAACTAAAGCATATTTCATCTGTTGAGGCTATGTTACAACTTTCTGCCCTTTTTAATAGTTTCTTGGATGCAGGGTTACCAGCTTTTTTGGAAAGTTTCTACAGCAAAATTATACAATTAACGTGAGGGTTATGAAAAAAGAAAGTGAGACAACTTGATTTTTTGACAAATTTAAAAAATGAATCTAATGCTAAAAATTTGATTTTGATACTGAATATAAGATCAAAACATCCAAAAATTTAAACTAGGTTTGTACAGAAAGCGCGATCTATAAGTTTTCACTGACAGCAGAAAAAAAAAGAAAATTTTGATAAAGCATCAGCTTTCTCATCAAGATTATCGCGTTTTTTGGAAAGTTCCGTAACGTAGGAACTATTAATTCAAACTCTTTTATGATGACGCAGTTCAAAACTGCAGACAGTTTGGACTTATATTCCGACATATTAATTGATATTTCGACAATATTTCGATATACATGATATTCCGACAAGCGAAAAAAAAATTTCATTCAAGGAATCAATCAGCAGAACTGTACTTATGGAGAAATTTGCCGTTTTTCTTAAGTGTTTGAATAGAGTCAATCTATAATGCTCACACTTACAGTGCTGGTATTAATTAACTTATTGAACAATTTTCTTCAGATGTATTGAATAGAAATTCAAATCTGAATTGTCTAAACTGTTATCGTTCCGACTTTTGTAACGAAAGTAACGGAATATTTGTGCTCGGGTTGGGTTTTTTTCTTCTGACAAATTTCGACTTTTTATCTAGCCTTTTTTGTTTATATCATTCCAAAGGAATTGTTTTTTGAGCTCAAATTATGAAAGATAATTCACCTGTCACCACTTTTCGCGGTGTTATGGGGGTTTAAAGATTTCCAGTTTGGCCAATTTGTGACAATTAACGGGCGATATTCTTCGCGCTATTAACGCGTAAGCAGAGATTTAATCCGTCTTAGAAATCGTTCCAAATTGGTTCGAGGAAGCTTATATGCCATAATTGGTTTGTTAATAGGAGCAAAATCTATCGTTTTGTTTTTAATATGACGTTTAAAAGTCTCAAATTAAAAAATGTATATTCTATTTTATTTCATTTGAATTTTTCATGTTATTGCAGTCTGAACATTCAGGGCTTCGCCCTGATACGAGCAGTCTTGTTCCAAATGTTTTTCTGCATTATTCGAGACCCGCTGGTTGCTTCAGTCGACACAGGACTTGCTTGCTATCTCATGGAGTAATTTCTTTTTGCTTTCACTGTCTGTTTATCACACTATCTATTTTCGGCCGGATGTATTCGTACAACTACCCAGTCTAATTAACCCTGCTCTTATTTCTTG